TTCTCATGTTTATACTTGACTTTGTTTAATTTAAAAAAAAAAGTTAATATAAATTATCAAAATATATTCTACATATAAATCACTACAATTTAAATGATAATTGAATTAAGTAGATAATTATGTTTCTGTCTGAACAGAGATTAATGTTACTTTTGACCAGAATATCCATAGGTTGTTTTAAGCACTTGGTTTAATTACTAGGAACAAAAGTTTGAAATCAATTACTATTTATGAAAGTTCGAGCGTTATAAAATAGTAAAATTATACAATTATTTATAAAACTTCAATAATGATAGTTTACTGTCATTTCAAATATCACGCCAGAAAATAATTTGGTGTGACGAGATAATTCCATAAAGAGGGAGACACTGTTCGTTGGCACATTTTTACCTAGCAAGTTTCCAATATTGTTTCTTCCTGATTATTTTCCATTCTTAAACTGTCAAAGTGTCAAGTTGTTGTAATAAGGAAAAAATGTAATAAGGAAAAGCAAGAAGAAAAAAATGTTGATGCAAGTTCGCCAAGTTCCTTGACGACAGTCGCTCTTATTAAGTATAATACTAAACTATAAAATATAATAAACATTTGTTTTTTTATTGAAATGCAATTTATAAATAAACGATGGCACTCTCTGAAAAACAGTAATTACATAAAAATGCGGTTTCTTTTTTTTTTAATTTACCATATGTTTTCTTCGCGTTATTTTTCTTTGTATTTTCTTACCCTTTTTTTGTGATATTTTTTCTTTTTCGTTACCGAGTGGGAAATTTTATTGTTCGTTATCGACTGGGAGATTCTTTTTTTTTATTTTGTATTGTTTTTTCCTGTGTTGTGTTTCTTTTTCATGTTATTTTTCATTGCGTTACTCTTTTTTCTTTTTTATTTTCTTCTTTTTTTTTCGTTACCGACCGGGAACACTGATTTTTCGTTATCGACTGGAAGATATTTTTTCTTTTTTTATTTTGCAGGAATACTTCATTTTACAATACAATATTGCGTATAAATGTTTGTGTATCTTCATAAATTAAATAATAATTTCAAATAAATTTATAATAATTTCAAATATCCCGCCAGAAAATAATTTAACGTAACGATATAATTCCCGTACGAGGGAGACACTATTCATAGGCCCTTTTTTTTTCTGGTTAGTTTCCAATATTAATGTTTCATAATTACTTCCCATTTATAAATGTGCAAAGGTGACAAGTTGAGTTATATACATGTACATTAAACGATTTGGTACGAACAATAAAAACAGAAATGTTGATGCAAGTGTAATTGTGCTGACGCTTTGGTAATTGTGCATAAAAGGGTACACCTCACCGATTTCGCTGGAATTTAAACATGTTCAGGATGAAAATTTTGAACAACTTTTTCCTATGCATGTAACCGCCGCTCGGCCTTACTTCCCGAGATTTTTGGAAAATATTATTGCTTCAATGAATATTGCCTATAGCTAGTGGCAGTGTGCGTATAAACATCGCCGTTTGTTTTTGTGTTCTATAGATACATCGAGGTGGCCGGCAATGGACGCATATAACGGGTGTACTTAGAAACTCGATTTGAGTAGCCGGCCGCCTAGCGGCGGCTGAAATAAAAAACTTAAATTGGATCCTCAGCTTTCTTGCTTAAGCTATATTCTGCTGAACCCATGGAATGCAGGAGGTCTGTTCAACAAGTTGACGCATTTGTTGCGGAATGTCGAACTACATTTGAAAGATGAATAATAATTGTACGTGACCATAGTTGGAAGTGTGCATAGTCAATTTTGTCATAAACGAGGTCTGTGATTTCGTATACAGCTTTGGAAAGTATTTTTTACATGTTCAGTATCCATGAATTTACAAAAAGAATTAGTATGTGAATTAATTGTGAGAAATTATACTCGCTTCAAATAATGTTTAATAACCACGTTCCAGATTTGTATTAATATTTAATGAAACATAAGTTGAAAACAATTTTACGTATACAAGGTTTATGGAAATATTATATGGTATCAATTGGATTACCCACGCACAATATGTTGACGATGTAATCATATCATTTAAAAACAAAAAAGGAGATAAAGAATATTGATAAAAAATAATTATCCAGGTAAGAGAAATAGTTACATATAAAAATAAATGACCCAACGGTCCTACAGGACTTCTTATATATGTATTTATATAAGTCAATTTTCAACTGATTTCGTTTATATTGCAGGTTATGATAACATTGTTCTAGACAATCTGTTATGTAAGTACAGGCTATCGACAAGCAGCAAACAGTAAAAATTCAAGAGCTAGCCGAACAAACCTAACCTAAATCTGGCAAGTGTTTTATGCAACGAATGTACTCTATTAAATCTGTAAAACACTCGAGGTATGTAAGAATATTTTGCTTCACTGGTCGAAGTAAGATATATCTATTACCAAGTAGGAATATTCAATATTTATACCATTTATTTCTTATTTATATTGTACATACACATGTGCATATATTGACAGGAAAATCTGTGTTTGCAGTAACTTTTTTACATTATTTATTTTTATGTAATACATTTTAGAATGAAATAAAGTCCTTTTGTCTTATAGGAAGAAAGATAAGAGAATTTTATACTTTTATCCTTTCAACGTCGTCGCCATCGAGCTTACGATGTTTAAATTTTGTTTATAATATTTTGGAAGCATTGCTACTGAATGTGAAACCATGTATCCGCAGTTTTGCGTAGTGTACAATTTTACGCGATTGAAATGGAAATATCAATCTTGAATAAAAAAAACTATTAGTTCTTTTGTTCATTTTTTGGGTACCTGTTTCGTTTTTCTCTGTAGTAACATCAGTAAGAATCTAACCTATAAACATATTGCTTTTTTCATCTCTCCCATTTTACTAAACTCTGAATCAGTCCAGAACCAATATTTTGCAAAACTTCACAAGCTTAATAGGAATTTGAGTGTTGTCGTTCATTTGCTAAATAATATATTTATTTCATATTCAATAACGATACGCTTTTAAAAAAAGGGACTTATGGTGGATAAATATGCAGCGCTATTAATTAGGATAGTCAAAATCGAATTTAGTATATACCTTTTGTCACCTACAAATATGACAAATGAACAAAAGTAACTAATGATATTAAAAACAAAAGTTAGCTTTGTTTACTTTCTTTTTCTTGTCAAAGAAACGATAGGCTCGCGATCTGTAGAAAAATGCGTCGATATGTCATAACGAAGTTTTCTATATAGACATTTATTCTTGTAATCTCATCTTTGCTCTTTAAGTAAATCAAAGATTTAATGTAACAAAATTGCTGTATTTGATGATTTCGTTACGAAATCTCTGAATGGAATCAACAGGAATTGAAAAAAAAAATCAGTTGTCAACATTGCAAACTAATTATATCTATGCCATCTATCTGTATATCTATTTCTAAATCATTGTTGTTATTGATTTAGTGAAAATTCCTAGCAAACGTGAGATTGGTATCGTTAAATAACTTTTCGTCTTTGACGTAAATACCATAAATTTCTGATACGTTTATGTTTCACTGAAATAAAATAATAGAAAGAAAGAAAGAAAGGGAAACATCTACGAGAATAAAAGTAATCGCTGATTCACAGATGTATAAAGATAGAATATAAGAACGGTGATAAATAAAAGTGATATTTTCAAATATACGCAATTAAATATTCGACGTTTTAAAGATAATTAACAGAAAAAAAGGTAATGCTGTAAAAGTATCGAATCGAATCGAGCTAGGCCAAGTTGAGTTAAGCTGTATTCCGTTGTGATATTTAGTGAACTTTAATGATGCCTCCGGTACCATAAGCACCCGCGAGAAGAGCCTGTGTACCATAGAGAGAACCAAGACCTATTAAACCCGCGTTCGCGGTGACTATGTTCGTCGCAGCTAATGACGGTTGTCTCGATATTGGAGCAGCTAACAGCGCAGCCTACGAAATAAACGAATTTTTAATTTATTCTTTTAATTAATTATTAATTTAAGAAATCATATAGCCAATATAATATACGATAATCTACGTTGAACTTGACATAGATAAATTTCAAATTTCAAAAAAGATAAGAAATTGCATTGAACAAACCTGTGGACGAACAGCTATAGCGGGTGCGGCCGCAGCAACAACCGATGTTGGCCGTACAAGCACAGGAGACGCGACAACGGGTCGCACGGCTGCTGCTGCGACAGGAGCGACTGGTGCCGCAGCAATCGCAGTCTTGACCGTGATGCTAGGATCTTTTTGAACGACAGCGTTGAAACCGTTGATAGGATCGGCAGCATACGAGACCACTCGACGCGAACCATCTGGCTCTATTAGACTATAACTACCTTGAACCACGTCGCCGTTACGAGTTTCCTCTTGCGCTTTGTTGTCACCTTGAAATTTTTTTCATTTATTTCATTTATTAATGAATTGTCTCGTATCTCTTTTCCATTGAGAACAAACAACGATAGCACCAAAACCTCCATCTCTCCAAATTGAGTTAATTCGTAAGAAAAGAGAATAAAAGAAAAAAGATGAGAACAAAATTCTCAAAATTATGATCTGTTGCTTTTTGCTACTTATATTTTTGATATTTAAACTTGACATGGTATTCCACGAATAACTTAATGTTTTGCCGATAAGAAAACTAATTACACATGCACGTACCCGTAAGACCGTCTGCCACACTGTAACTGAAACTGTATTGAGGATTTGGATCGAAGTTTTCAGTTCTGATGATAGCAGCCGCAGCTTGCGGAAGTGTTGCAGAAGCGGGAGCAATTATTCCTGCACTTGGCCCGATTATTCCTGCACGGACAACAGTTACGACAACAGCCAAAAATACATACCCAATCATCTATATACAAAAAATAAATTAATCAAGCGATATTCTTCCATGTGTTTGTATATACTTTGTACTCTTTGTACTTTATACACTTTGTACTCATTTCAAAGAATAACACTATTTGTTTTGAAGGAATAAATCAAAGTCAACCAAAAGCAACGTATGTACGTATGTATGTAATGTATATACTCTATTGATTAAAAAGAAACTACTAATAAAATTACTTTGCAAGCCGCGATGACCGAAAAGTTAATGACGTTCTGATATCTTTGGAACAACTGGGTATCGTTGTTCTTTGCTAGCTAGGATTTTATACTGTTTGCCATCGGTTGACCCCGCCCTCAACTTTTCTTTGGAGACACTTTACCCCACTGCGTCGAGTTTGCACTTATGTTGGGTGAACGCAATGAGCAATGGATAATAGATCATGTTATCGGTGACAAAATTATGTCAGAATTATTTCGTGTTAATTTCTTGATCAAACGTCAAATTAAATATTACAATCGATTCGTTCTTTCTTTTTTTTTTTTTTTTTTTTTTTTTTTGAAAAA